TCACACACACACACACACACACACACTTACGCACACGTACACAAACTTGCTTTTCCTATTATATCATACTAGAAATGAAAAAAATCAGGAATACAGTCAAGAGGAAAAAGCCAAGAAAGTCGTGGAAGCAAACATCTTTGTATGGAGGCAATTTCCTATTTTCTTGATTATTGCCCTTTAACAGTAATGGTTCTTGGCTCCTCTGATCGATTAGACTAAAGTTAAAGCACTTAGTGTAGAATTCTGTGGACTAAAGTAATAATTATTTGACACAACGGAGTTCAATGTCATATAGCCTACTTTGTGTCCCCGGAGTTTTTAGATCTACATGTATATTTGTTCACTAACAGAGTAGGCAGACAAACAAACTACTCGTTACTTGTGACTTGGGCTTTATTCACGAACATTAACTGGTTCGAATTCGAATGATTAACAGCACGGAACTAATGAAAATGGCGAAATTATTTTCATACTGTGATGTAAACAAACCAGAATGAAAGTAGACCGAGTTTTTCTGATCTGCGAGGCAAGGATAGTGCGTCGTGGAACTTTACAAAGCTCAATGCTGCAGTATATAAAAATGATATCAGTGAGACATTGATTGTTGGATTGTTCATTGTTCCCTGTTAGAATAACACAACTTACGTGTGCGAGTGATGCTGAAATAAGCATGTGTTCTCTCCTTCTTCTGCTGCTGGCACTGGCTTCCTCGCTCCAACCCGCAGACGTGAGGCTTACTCTGGGAACATGTAATCTGTGGAATGTCATGTTTAACTGGGAAGTTCGTGTCATGCACATCGCTGACATGGTAAGTGAGGCAGGGAGACCGTTTTGAGATGAGATTTTTGAACGTGTTTGTATTTAGAAATACTTGAACAAGTTTCTGGACAGTAGAAGCCATAAAAGCCCAGTCTGAGCTGAGATCAGTGGGTGGGCCAGAGTGTAGGAGCTGAGCTTGATGGCCTTTCTTAAACCCTTCTGCCTTCTGTGTGTGGAAAAATACCTCAGCTAAGCTTATAGTACGGCAGCATAGATAAATAACTGTGGACACGTAGATGTAGAGTCTAGATCTAGTAGCTCCAGTAAACAAACAGGTCTGGTGGTTTAGAATCAAGAGGGGAAACACAAAGGGTAAGTACTTTAGACTTAGAAGACTGTAAAGTCTTACATCTAACAACCAACTGTTCAAGACAATGAACTGTTCAAACCACCACTTCCCACTCACCCCGCTGCATTTTTTGTTTGTTATAAAGGTAGTATTATAATGACACTGTCCAAGAGTACTGCCTGTAAAAGATGACCATTATTCTCCTTGACAATGGTTGGTCTTCAATGAATCAATGACAGGTTGTACTTTAAAACTTGTTCTATAATTGCTGTACTTGAATCAGAGCCCACCACTGAACTTGACTGCCTTACATTTAGTTTACATTACCCTTCTTTGTATCAAAAGCTGGCTGTCTCAGTACACAGCTATGTCTTTATAACAGTGGACACGCAGATGCTGATAAAAGTCAATAAAGTGCATAGGTCTGGTAGGTTCTGGAATACCTGGAGGTGGGAATGGTTTGCTTTTGTCATTTTTATCAGTCCTGCTTAAGACATTCAATTGTCTAAGACGACCACTTTTTCCCTCAATGTAATAGGAGGCCGTCTTGGGCAGTTTTGAGTGTAGTTTCTTTGTTTTCTATAAAATTTATTGAGAATCCTGAAAGCAGTGGATATATAGCTCCCTGATTCTATAGAGGCTAAAATAATGTTTACTGTAGGCTACTCTCTCTTATTTCAACTTATTTGCATGGCACACATAGACCGTACCAAATGTTCGGCATGATGGGAAAATGCTGAGTTTCTTCTTGTTATTTCGGCAGGTGCGTGAAGCAGACATGGATATTTTGGTGTTTCAAGAGGTGCGCATGTCTGCTCTCACAGATTCTCTCAGCGAAACAAACATTTGGTCCCAACTGCAACAGTTTCGATCCCTTCTACCAGAGTACAGATGGGTGGCCGCCCGTCCCGCAGGTCCCGTGGGTAGGCCAAAAAATGCTGTTTGGAAAGGATGGGAAATGGAAGGTAACTGACGCCATGAACTAAACTACTAAACTACTAAACTGCTGTAGTAAGCTGACAAAACGCCTTTTTCTTCTTCACAGCAGTTTCGAGGAAAAGAGTTTTTTTGTCAGTGTAACCATTTAAAAATAGAATGATTCTGAAATTTGAATTCTAATTTATTATCTTAAAATTTCTTTGATTTTTTTCACACACGTAGGGTAACTGATCAAGGCTTTTGATGTTAGCAAATAGAAAATTTTGAAGCCAAAATGAAAAAAAGGCGTTTTCAGTGGTAGTGTAAGTTTAGTGTAAGTCTACTGCAGTGGAGTCCTCTTAAACTAAACCTGCCAGACCACCAGATTTTCTTTGGTTCAGTTAGGTTTTCAGTTTAGGGAGGTTGCTCAAATAAAAAAATAATTTAAAAAGAATAATCGGGGATTTTCTTTTCTTTCTCTTTTCTTTCAGTTTTCTGCTGTTTTCCGATTAAGAGTTAGGCCAATAGCTTGATGAAAGTGTTCTTCCCTTTCACGACTGGCTCTGCCTGTCTGTTTAGTAGTTTTTTACTTCTGAAATTTTCTCAAACTTTCATGTCCCTGTTTTTCTCTAGGCTTGTATTACTTGAACTACAACTATGTCTATGTTTTTCTCTAGGCTTGTATTACTTGAACTACAACTATGTCCCTGTTTTTCTCTAGGCTTGTATTACTTGAACTACAACTATGTCTATGTTTTTGGGGGGTTTTTCTGTTTATGTCTTTAGTAATGATCACCCATGTGTAGTTTTTGGACCATGGATGTTTGTAAAAGTAATTTAGTAAAAGGCAGAATTGAAGATGGACGTTGACGATGTTGTCAGATAGTTCTCTTTATATTTCTTCTTTGTACTTGAGATTTCAATGAACCCATCAGTCTTTGCAAGCCAGCGTCTTATTCATTTTGTTTCACTTTGTAGTAGATAAAAATGTTTTGATTTGTTCTGCTTAACTTTACTAATCTTTAATACCATGCAGAACGTTTCACCTGAGGAGCAATGATTTTGATTGTATGTAATTTTGATGCCTTTTACTTTTATGCACACTGCCAGATTGACTAACTCTGACTCTAACTGTTTGAGTTTGACTAACTCTGACTCTAACTGTTTGAGTTTGACTGACTCTCACTCTAACTGTTTGAGTTTGACTGACTCTCACTCTAACTGTTTGAGTTTGACTGACTCTCACTCTCATCAAGAATAAAAAAGAAGAAGAAGAAAAAGAAGAAGTAGAAGAAAAAGAAAAAGTAGAAGAAGAAGAAAAAGTAGAAGAAGAAGAAAAAGAAGAAGTAGAAAAAGAAGAAGAAAAAGTAGAAGAAGAAGAAAAAGAAGAAGTAGAAGAAAAAGAAAAAGTAGAAGAAGAAGAAAAAGAAGAAGAAGAAAAAGAAGAAAACCCCATTGGAGATTTCAGTGTGGAATGATACCAGCTGATCACGCTCCATCAACTCAGTTCACAATCCTTTTCACCGTAATTTTTTTCCTCTGCTTTTCAGGCCTTGGGATCATCAGTCGTAAGGAAATTTTGTCTGTGAAGGTCGTGAATCTCACCGTCCCTGGCAGCGTGGACAAGAACCTTCGGATAGCTCTTCATGCAAAGATTCGCTCCGGCCCTTCGGCAGACGATGTGGTCAGTGTGTGGGTCGTGCATTTTTCCTACGACAGACATCAGCAGTGTCAGAATGCACTGGACATTATTGGCAGTATTTCCTCAGGTGGGTTCGACGAATGTCTTTCTGACAACTTTTATGTTTTTGTGTCTTCTGACAACTTTCCTGACAACTTTTGTGTTTTTGTGTCCTTCCCTTCTGACAACTTTTGTGTTTTTGTGTCTTCTGACAACTTTCCTGACAACTTTTGTGTCCTTCTGACAGCTTTTCTGACAACTTTTCATTTATGTTTTGTATCCTTCCCTTCTGACAACTTTTTGTGTTTTTGTGTCCGTAGACAACTTTACTGACAACTTTTGTGTCCTTCTGACAGCTTTTCGGACAACTTTTGTGTTTTTGTGTCCGTAGACAACTTTTCTGACAACTTTTGTGTCCTTCTGACAACTTAATGTTTTCCCGAAAACCACGGCTACCATCCCCCCCTCCCCCAGGCCTACTCACTTCATTTTCCCCACTTTTGTGTTCACGCTGTTTCGTTTTCTGCAAGATCACATGAGATATGACAAGTGTTTCCACAAACTTAGTCTAACCACCAACCTACTTAAGCTCCCTTTTACTTTTAGGACTAAAACATTTTTAATACGACCGATGACTGTCCCATGCTTGTATAAATGCAAAGGGAACATGTTTAGTAATGTGGATTGTTGTAGACTGGTCTAGTACTGTGCTGTCCTTGGGGTTTTATGCTCCCCGCGCAATTTAGCAAAATTTGACCATTTTTTGCTTAATTTCTGATTATTTTCCTGTTATCATTCTTTGTGAAAATTAGCAGAATTGCATAATTTCACATTTTTGGGCTCAGTTTGCATAATTTCATAATTTTTTTTGCATGAAACTGGGGGGACAGATTGTAGTAGATGGTCAAGTCGCGACCCCAGCACTTTCTTGTCCTATCTCCATTTTTAATAACAGTGAAAACCATTCTTAACAAAAAGAGGGAGCTTAAGAAGAAGTCACATTTTCAATGTTAAAAAAGATGGAGATAGGACAAGAAAGCGCTGAGGTCACGAAGTGGTACAGTAGTAGTCAGACTGGTGCGGTGGTAGAACGTCAAATAGAACCGAAACGTTACAGTAGACCGTCAAGTAGAAGGACACTACCCTAAGAATCATTTTTCACTTCTGACCTCATCTATTAATATTATTACAGTAATAGATGAGGTCTGTCTAAAGTGAAAAATATTATGAAATTGGTTTAAGTTACGTCAGTATTGATTTGTTCTGTTTTTGATCTTGAAGTAGCCTACAGTATAACACGGATAGGTCGAACTCAGAAGACTCAAAATGACGCTTCTGTTGAACTGTGCTTGCAGGCAGTCCTGGTTTTTTTTATTCTTCTTTATCTTCATAAAATTAGAATGTCCCTAAAACTACAGATCCCCCAGACTGTAGTTAGGCCGGTTCCGACAAATTCGAGCTATATATCCGTATATCCGTTTAGTTTAGTTTAGTAGGCTATAGGGTTTTACCAAACTAAACTGATATAGCTATATCCGTGTTATTATCTCATATAAAATTTCACACATATGCATTTATATTATATGTTTTAATACGTTGTTTTACATACGCACTTGTCGATTAATTTTTAAGATGTGATGTCTTTTTTGTTGTAATGCGCATTGAGCATCTTTTAGGAAATGGAAATGCGCACTATAAAAATGCTATTTATTATTATTTATTATTATTATACACAGTATTTTGGTGTTTTCTTTTTTTTTTTTCCAGACACAACACAGTTTGGTAATGTGTTTATCTTAGGAGATTTCAACGCTTACAACGATTTCCGTGGCCCTATGGACGTGTTTGTGTCGAGGCGAGCCACGGTTTGTTCTAACAAGAGCCCGAGACGTAGAGACAGCGCCGCCGGGACGTTTGTGGACGCCTGGATGATGTCTGGACGACAGCACAGAGACGGACTCACCTTCAGCAACATGGTATGTAGGCAGGGAAGTGAAAGGCTTTGAATTGTTTATTTTAGTAAGGGTTTACGGCGCTCGCAACTGCTTAAGGCAAGGTCATATGAGTGCCAAGGGGTGGATGTCAATAGAGAAGTCTAAAGAGGGATTCAGGCTTACTCTGATCACCTCTCTAGCCTCAACAGCACAAAGTCTGCTTCCACTATCAAGGCACCCCGGAAATAGCGGGTCACAAGAGAGTGACAAACATACAAAAGAAATAGAGGGAAAAAATTACGATAGTAAGGATGCAGAAAGAAAAAGCAGCAGTAAAGGAGACACATTGTATTGAAAATGTGAAAAAGGTTGTCAAAGTTGATTTTATTTAATAAGAGGCGAGACCTCCAAATTTAACATCCGTCTCCTATAGTACAGGACAGAGCCAAGAGGGTTGAGAGCTATAGAAGATAAAATCCTCCTAACAGCGCAAGTTCAAAACACTGTGTTGTGGATTTCCGTAATGTGTTCAGCAGCCCGCCTCCTACATCTGTCCCCATGGTTTTATGCACCCCGCATAATTTATCAAAATTTGATCATTTTTTGCATAATTTCTGATTATTTTCTTTTATTCTTCTTTGTTAAAATTAACAGAATAGCATAATTTCACATTTTTGGGCTCAGTTTGCATAATTTCAGAATTTTTCTTGCATAAAACCACGGGGACAGCTAGATGGTCTCTGTTGTATTCCCTGTGTGTTGAAATGATTCTTTTCTTGTCCAGCCGTCCCCAGGACTTGAGAGTCGGCCTGATCGTATCCTCGTGCCCAAGAATGCTGAAGTGGAGAGCATAGCTCTGATGGGCAACGGAGACGACTATGCATCCTTCTACTACTTCAGCATCATGGCGCACAGGGCCAAGGTCATTGTGGCCGCGAGCTACGACAGTCTGAGAGGGAGGTCGGGCTACCCTTGTCGGCACGACTGCGGCCCGCACGGATCGTGTCGCTGCGGCGTTTGTGTCAGGGGAGGGAACAACCTCAACTGCGACATTCCCTCTTGTGAAGAGTGCGATAGCAGGGCCTTTGTCATATTTATCTCCCTTTTCACCCCTTTTTGCGTCACTGCCACAATATTGTTTTACGCAGTCCTGAGAATGTTGGTTGTCTCGGCCAGGTTTAGTCAGAAAGACATCGAGGATATTCTCGGATATAGATGTTGTTTATTCAACAAACGACTTTTCCGATTTGGTGCCTTACCTCGAAGATACAAAACACTGGTGTCGAGAATACTCTGTGTGTGTGAGCTCCCCCCTTTGTTGTTAATCCTGTTGACTGTGATCATTCTGCTGATTCTGGGTACAGTGATGAGATATACCCTCCGCGATGCCATAGATGTTGTGTATTCTGTGTTGCCTGAAGAGCTGTTCCCTTCAGATCATTTGTTGCTGTATGCCTCCATTAAAACGTAGAAGTTTTCTCGTAGTTGTTGTGAGTCTCTTTCTCTACTTTGTGTACATGTAATATGTATCTATACATTTTATTTACAGCAGTTGGGCACGGAAAACTCGAAATCACGAATAACTTGAAAAATTTGCTATTCCGACTGATGTTTAGTTTTAGTAAGAGTTTTACGGCACTTGCAACACTATAAGGTCATATAACTAATTATAAGTGTCGAAGATTAGAGATGTTACAAGAGAGTGATAAACACAAAATAGAAGGAGGGGAGATAAAGACGACAGATGTTTGATAGGAAAGAAGGAGCGAACCGCACCAGAGCACCCACCAACCATCCACAAGAACTATACTACTTTTATTTACAGCATTTGGGCACGGATAGCAGGAAAGTGATGTGTAACTCAAAATCACGAAGAGCTCGTACATTTTGTAATTTCGACTGATATCTCTTTAATTTTTCGTTATCGATCAACTTGACTTATGGATGTGGGGCACATGTTCGAGTCACCCAGTCCAGACTGTGTGTCTTTTACAAGTAAGTCTGTCCCCGTGGTTTTATGCTCCCCGCATAATTTAGCCAAATTTGATCAGTTTTTGCATAATTTCTGATTATTTTCCTTTATCATTCTTTGTTTCAATTTAAAAAATCGCATAATTTATCATTTTTGGATTCAGTTTGCATAATTTCAGAATTGTTCTGGCATAAAACGATGGGGACAGGTAAGGTCTCCCAAAACTTTCTTTTGTTTTATTTATTAATTTTTCTGTTTGTTGTTGTTGTTTTTTTCACAAGTTCTCTTATCTTCTCGCTAACTTGAACATTCTCGTAAGAAGTAGGACCCACCAGTGGCATCCTTAGCTGTCCCCGTCGTTTTATGCAAGAAAAGTTCTGAAAAATAATAATTATGCAAAATGAGCCCAAAAATGTGAATTTATGTGATTCTGTTAATTTTATCAAAGAATGATAAAGGAAAATAATCAGAAATTATGAAAAAAATGATCAAATTTTGCTAAATTATGCGGGGTGCATAAAACCACGAGGACAGTCTTAGGTTCAACACCTCACGACTTCAGTGCTTTCTCGTCGTATGTCCATTTTTTTTTTTAACTTTGAAAATGTGACTTTTTCTTAAGCTCACTCTTTGTTATGAACTGTTTTCGCTAATATTGAAAATGGAGATAGGACAGGAAAGCACTGAGGTCGCGACCTGAGGAAACATTGTCAGTGGGAGACGAATATGAGGGGAGACTTAACGTCAGTGGCCGATAGATCCAGGTGAGAGAGTGAGGGGAG